TTTGGGGATAGTAGGCACCAGACCTACTCTTGCTACTCAAGATTAGATAGCCAAATATCTACCAGTTATTTAAGCTACAGATGGACTCACACCGTCCACATGGGCAACTGTGTGAAAGTGAATGCAATAGACTAGGTTAGAATTTGAACTCATCATGCCAATTCCATTTTTCATCCCAATATCTGTTACAGTACATAAACTTATTTAATAATTTGGAAATCTTTATATGAAATTCACATATAAAATACAAACAGAAACATGTTGAACATTATGATATAGCAACATGCTCATATTAATTTTATTTGAAAAGAAATAATACAAATTAATTTCTCAACAAAATCTGATAATATAAAAGAAGCCTTATATATAAGCTTGCAAAAATGTAATGCTTATAATGTAATTGTGTTTCAATGAGAAATATAACCTTTGACAGTATATTATATGAATCTAACAATAGTAATATATAAATTCACGATGAACAATATTATTATTAATAATAATAATAATAACATTTATATTTAAACTTGAACTAATTTTTATCTATTATAACAGTATTCATTACAAATTGTAATGAATAGTCATATAATAGATTAAATAACATCAGGTTTAAGGCCTTCAATTTCTGAAAAATTGTGAAAAGAACCTAGAGAATCCTTGAAAATGATAGTATATTAGCGGCAATTTTAACTGAGTTGAGTCATTTATTCTTGTGAATCTATGTAATCTTAAAACTGAAAATTACATTAATTTATCATGTTAATTTTATCTTTTTTATCTAAACTATTTATCCTTATCTGCTTCCTTTTTGTATTTCAACATTTTTGTTTTAATCTTGTCACCCAAATTACGGCAATAATGTCAAGATGCAAGAGGCTACTGGGAGTGAAAGAGAATTAAAAGAATTTAGGAAAAGTAACATGAAACCGTGTCCTAAACAGGAAACAAGGGCTAAACCTCTATTCCAGTTCAAGAGACAGGGAAGAAGAGCGTGAATAGTTGAAGAGGCTGGTTCCAGAATGTGCCATATCTAAGGTTTTCTTCCTGATGCCTTCTGTTATCCTACTTTTTAAGCAGAATTGGTGTGTATCTGAGAATCAGGGAAGGAAAGGAATCAGGACTAATTAAACATATTTGAAGTAGGATCTCAGAAGAATTATTTATTGTATTTTTTTGCGTTCCAGAAAGAAATTTTATCTCATTCATTTCGGCTTCATAATGAGTTGAAAGAAACAAAATATCTAAAAGTAGTTTTCAACAGAGATATTTGGCAGATAATTTAGATTTGTTATAAAATCGGAAAACATCCATCACCATTATTGCTGGATGCACACTTTGTAAAAAAATATTGATCTTGGAAATATGGCTTGTTCTGCTTTAGATTCACAAAGAAAGTTTGCTTGACATAGTACAAAGGAGGAAATGGACAAACTAGACCCTGTTAAGTTTTTCTTTCAGCAAGGGCGATTCTTCACAAGTCAAAGATTCTTCTTCAGCTTCCACAGATACTCTTAAGACGATTACCTGTGTCAACAATTCCTGCAGAAATCAAATGGTGCCTGAGTGTGGTTATGTCCTACCAATCCTATAGTTGCAAGAAACAAACTATTTAATTTTTCCATGAAGAGATTTTACAGATATTATTTTATGAATTAAATTGCCACTTTAGTGAAGTTGCTACAGATTTTGCACTAAGGGCAAATGTCTGTACATAATCTTGCTTGAAACTTCTACAATATTCATGCTTAATTTAATCAAATAAGTTAATTGGTTGCCCTTTTTTCTTTGATGAAAGTCTAATCAAAATTGTTCAAAAGTGCCAAATGGATAATAACATTATTATTTGGTGCAAAGAAAATGGAAGAAAGAAGTTAATAACCTTCCTTATATTGTCCAAATACAGAGCAGCTTTTGTCTGTGATCATCACTTTTTTTCGCACGGTATTGCTGCAAACAAAACCCACTTTAGATCTCGACCTTGTGTCACATTCCATAACAACGTGGTCATGCTGAAAACTATTTACTTGGGTAGGTTTTTGTTAAATATGAATTTTGAATCAAGCAATAAAATATAAGTAGTTTCTGAGAAGATAAAATTTATTTATCAGTTCATTTTTTTCTGTTCCGAAAATAATTCAGTTAAAAATCTTTTGTTCCTGCTCAAATGCAGTTAGTGTACTAAAATTGTGTTAATGGCCTGAAGTTAATTCTTTCAAAGGTCTATTTAAATGGGTGGGGTTCTGCTTTAGATTTACAAAGAAAATCTGGCTGACATAGTAAAAAGGAAGAAATGGAGAAACTAGAGCCTGTTAAGTTTCTTTTTTTTTCAGCAAGAATGATTCTTCACAAGACAAAGATTCTTTTTCAGATTACACAGTTACTCCTAACACGATTACTTGTGTCAACATCTTTCCTCTGGTCTGTATTTTAAGTAAATTTTGTATTAATCTAAAATATCCTCATCCTGTTGGCCATTTTGTTTCACCTGTCAGATTTCACAACTTTAATTTAAGAATGTTACTTATTTGAGCACTTGGGCCATATAAATTTGCACCTTGCCTCCAGGATGTCCAATACAGTCTCTTCAAGCAAACATTAAACTTTAATATGTAATATGTAAATACATATATCTACCTGTATAAATGTTATTGTTATATTTACCTCGGTCATCTTCTTTTTCTGTGAAGATCATTTCATCACATTGTTTATAATTGTGTGTTGTATTTGTGGGCATTTTTCCTAAAATCCGCATAGAATGACCCCACAAGAGCAATGGGAAATTGTCATAGAAATGTGCTGTTATATCCTAGATTATTACTTTACTATTGCATTAGTGTAGAAGCGTGTCGGATTTAGCACCTCCTTAATTCCAAAATTGTCACCAGGGGTCTCTCTCCCAATACTATAAATACTGGGAAGCTTCTTACCTTTCTTCATTTCAGCGAACACCTCTACTATGTGAGCTCTCGCAAAAGACAGCGTTTCCCACTTCTAGGAAGACGCTATGAATATTACAAACATGCACGTACGTACGAACATTTACCAAAATACGAACATTCACTAAAGAGCAAACACAAATGTTCACACACACACACACACACACACACACACACACACACACACACACACACACACACACACACCTGTTAACTGTCTATGTGCTTTGTAATTTGTGGTCAATACATATATTTGTTGACATATACATATATATGTATCGGTCTTGTTTGGTTGTTTGTCTTTTAATCTTCGGTTGGAATTAAAACAAGTCCGCCATTTTCTTGTTTCTTGTAATTGGACCTTTTAATATTCTACCAGGAGTCACGCACGTGTTCCCAATTTAACAACACATAACCACCCCGGTCCTCTACAAGCGGAACTCTGTTGTATGTTGAGGACCTCCTATATATACAGGGTGTGATGAGTAAAGTGTCACCATTTTATATTTTTAATTTCAAGCCTGCGCGTTATTTGTTTTTTGATTTTGTTGCCTGTGTGGTATCCATTAAAATATCAACAGTGTAACCCGGATAAAAAGACTCGGATATAAGAGAAACCCGGATATAAGAGAGATTTTCTCTGGTCTCAAATTAGAGCCCATACTTACCTAAACAAAATAGACCAAACCCGGATATAAGAGAAACCCGGATATAACAGACTTCTTCTCCGGTCCCGACAACTCTCTTATATTCGGGTTACACTGTACAATATTTATAAACCAATCACACTCAAGAAAACACTTACATCTTAAAACACACCAATAAAATCATAGATTACAAATCAAAATGTTTGTTGTATTAGTCATCATCATTTTTAGGTAGATACCGACCAAATATCGTACGGACGTAGAAGACATACCACGTGACTTCTTAGGGCCAATTAGGAATAAATAAATAATTTAATTCTGGAGTCGATATTGTTCGGAAAAAGTGTATAAAAACATACGAAATCCGTTCCCAAAACAATATACACGCGGCTGTCACCAAATTCCACACACCTCTCGCTGTTGACCTTCATGACCTCATGTTAAAAACGACAGCGTTGACAAACTCCAGACCACGGCAACACCGTCAACAGTAAGAAACAATTCGTATATCTCGTATCCTTTTTTACTATGAATCACGCACACACATGTTGACTTTTTCATACAAACATACATATCACATTTTATTGTTTCTCACACACGTACACAAAGACAGTTTATATTTTATTTCAGAACTTTATCAAACCAAACAAAAGACATTCCTTTCCAACCTATTATCAACTGTTTGTATTCCTATCGTTATATTAAATTAATGTTTATTCGTTGAAGCTACGTCGTCTTTTCTACTGAATTTTATTCCTTCAATGAAAAGCGTTTGATTATTCTAGGCAGCCAAATTACGAGCGACCCTGTAACAAAAAACTGAGTAGAAGGATTCCTACAACTGCACAGTATAGTAGCATCAGTTGGACACGGTCTGTGAGAAAAAGAGCAACATGACGCAATTCACTCAGCCAGAAATTTGGAAACAGCATGCTGTACTGCTTGGCATTTGCGTTGGAAGCTCCAATACAAACATTTCAGAGTGTTTGGGTGTCAATCTGAAGACAGTGTAAAGGATTCAGAAAGAGGTGAATGAGTTTAATGGTGAATATGAAGGTGTTTGAACTGATCACTAATGATGGCGACATTATACCTCCATTCACCTTACCATGGGGACTCAAAACCAAGACCTACATCAAGTGCCTTAAGGAGGTAGTGCAGCCCTGGGTTAAGAGGGTGGCTGCTGGAAGACCCTATGTCTGTCGACGGGACTCTGCACTATGCCATACAAGCAGGAGGACCCGGTCATGATAATTTCTGCCACCACATCACCCCTGACATCTGGCTACCTAACTCCCCAGGCTTCAATTCCCTTGATTATGTGCGGGGCGCAGTTGAGTAAGAGACTAACAAAACTTCTTGCACATCAAAGATGAACTGAAGGTAAAGATTATAAAAGCATTCACCAACTTTGTTGTAGTATCTATCTATCTATCTATCTATCTATCTATCTATCTAATCTAATCTGGACGTAGAGATACCCCTTTGAACGGGATCTGAATAAAGAAAGCATTCGCCATTTTGTTATTAATCTAAACACACGTGTTTTAATTCGTTCTTCATTTATGAACACAACGTGGTACCAGAAGTGGGATTGTCATGAAACTAAAAGTAGATTAAATGAGCACTAGAGAACGTATACACAAAACCGTATCAAAGAAAACCCGGAGGGGTCTACACCCTTATTTAGCATCCCGCTACCACTTTTTTATCAATCTCAATTTTTGTGCAAATCTGTGCAAAAAGCGGATCACAGAACTTCTCCAGCTTCATACATATTTTCAGAAAACCTCAACTTCTAATTGATCAATAAACGCACAAGTGGGCCTTGCAATTCACCCACGTACAAGTCTTTTTCCAGCGCGTGACCAAGTCAAAATTTCTGGCTTTTTTTCTCTGGAGCCTGTCACGTGATTACGTTGTTTATAAATATCAGACACAAGTTCGTTCTTCCTCTTTTCTTTCTTGATTTCATTCACTTACGAAAAATGTAGCAGTAAAGAAATCGTTCTCGACCCCTTGCGGTTAGACGCCATGAAAACATTCACACACGCACAAGCAATGGAAATTTAATTACAAACATTACGGAACATTAACTCCTTCAACTGTTCTCAGCTTTACAGAATTCTTTCAACTCTCTCATAGTGAACATTTGAGCGGCAAGTTCATTCAGCCTTTTATGAGCTCAGATAAAAAAGTATTCCATTACAAACTTTAATTCCAGTCAAAGGGAAGTAACCCCTATACTTGAACATCATTATACAAATATAAATATAAATCTTGCTGTTAAAACCGTTTTGTGTCCCTTCTTCTTTCTCTTGTTACTTTTGCGTTTGCTTACACATTCGTAAAGTAAAAAAAAAATGTACGAGTTGATTTAGGCCATCAATACCGCTACACTTACACCATAAGCGATAAAGCTGATGATAAAGCTGGAGGACTCGGAAAACTTCGACTTAGCCAAACAGAGATTTGATCACCACTTAAAGGCCAGCACAAACGTAATTTATGAACGAGCGATGTTCAACAAGAACGTTAATTCATAGACGCTTTTGTGACTGACCTACACGCGTTAGCAAAAACATGCGATTTCAAGGGGGCTTTTGGACGAGTTTATACACGACGGGATAATAGTGGGATGTAGAGACGTCAAATTATGCGAGACACTTATAATGATATCAGATCTCACTTTGGAAGGTGCAGTCAAAAGGACGCGCCAGAACGAAATTATGAAGTCCCAACAACAGATATTAGGGCCGTCTGAAAAAAATAAATTCGAGCAACTAGATGAGCATGCGGCCGTTAACATCTCCGACAGTCGTTATCATAAAAGAAGTTATACAAAAAAAAAGAAGAAAACCTCCATAAAAAGTTCTTTCTTTTTATGTGCCATGTCCTTTCAGGACGTAAGGGATCATGGCTCTCCACCTCCCTCTATCCCTTGCAGCTCTCAACAAGTTCCTTTCCCTCTGAAGGACAGATGTCAAGTCTGCCAACAGTCGCGTTGGTTTCCCTTGTTTTCTTTCTCTCAAAAAATCCTCTGTCCCTTACTCTGCACTCCTTCTGCTGACTCTTCCTGATATTAAGTATAAACATCCTTCTTGTTTGCAACCTCTCTAAGATCTCATTGCTGATCACACGCTCGGTCCATGATATCCTTAGCATCCTTAGCATTCTGTCGACTCGAGTCTCTTTAACTTTGAGGAAATCGTCCAACATTCGCTGCCGTAAAGAAGGACAAATATCAGGTAACAGCTCAGTATTTTTTTCTTTGTTACCAAAGAAATCCTTCCCAGCTCACTTTTTGAAATTTGTCCTTGGCCATCCCAATACGTCTACGAATGTCAGTGTTTCCTCTGTCAAGACCTTCCCAGATATTTAAACTTTCTGGATTCATGTTTTGACCTTCAAATCGCATTTCAGGCTCATCCTTTTACTGATGACCATGCATTTTGTCTTCTTGTAGTTTATGCTTAGTCCTTTTTCTCACTCTCTGTCGCTACCTTCTGTAGGAAATTTTGTAATTTCTTTTCCGTGTCTGCTATCAGTACTGTGTCATCTGTGTGTCTTATATTGTTAAGATTGTGGCTGCCAGTGCTAAATCCCCGTAGGGTTTCCAATTCTCTCAGAATTGCCTCACTGTATAGGTTGAACAGGTTGGGTGAGAAGATGCATCCTTGCCTTACGCCCCTTTCTATACTTGTATATTCACTGAACTCTTTCCCCATGCGCATGCATGCTGTTTGCTGCCAGTATAGGTTCTGATATTTTACCCGAATATATCAAGGTTGCTGAGCAGTTCCATCAGATACTTGTAGCGTACTTTGTCAAAGGCCTTTGCGTAGTCTATGAAACATAGGTACACGTCCTTCTGCATCTGTATCGCTCTTTCTGATAACAATCTGAGCATGAATATCGCGTTCCTTGATCCGGTGTCTTTAACGAACCCGCACTGTTCTTGTCCTATCTCTGGCCAGATTCTGCCCCGCGCTCTGTTCATTAGAATACGGATGATGAGTTTTGTCACGTGGCTCATTAGGCTTATTGTTTGGTGGAGTTCGCATTTGTTTGCGCCTATTTTCTTAGGTATGGCTACAAAGATAGATCTGCTGAGGTCTTCCACTATATGCCTGCTGTTGTAGATTTTGTTTGTTATTTCAGTGGCCTTGTCTATATCAAAGTCATCTAAGTCTGTCAGCATTTCCGTTACAATTCCGTCTGGCCCAGCTGCCTTGTTTCTGTTCTATTACGGCTTTTACTTCAGTTTTCAGAATTCCAGGTCTGTCGGTAGTTCTGTGTATTGCTGGTTGCTCCCTTAAGTCGTGGAAGAGTTCTCTAATATACTCTCTCCAGCGTTGAAAATTTTTTCCTTCTCTAATATGAGCGTTCCATCCTTTGATTGTAGGCAGCCTGTTGACGAGCATGTCTTTTGTCCTGTTAGTTTTCTTATTTGTTCGTACATTTCTCTTTTGTTGGTAGTATTCAATCTTTCTATTTCTCCACATTTTTTGTTTAGCCATTCTTCTTTAGCTTGCCTGCATTTGGTCCTTATTTCATTGTGTAATTTTCCGCAGCCTGTTCCATATCTTGGCCGAGTTTTCTATCTTCTTTTCATCATGTCGAGAATCATCAGTCATCCCTTCGTTTTTCCTGTCTCCTTTGGGATGATATCGTTTGCTGATGCCACTAAAGCGTCTCTTAGTGCGTCCCGTTTTGAGTTTCCATTGTGTGCTTCGTGTCTTCTTTTCACATTGTCTATGTATTTTTCTTTTAGGTAAGGATCTCTCAGACGTCTCTTGTATTACAGTTTGGGCGCTGTTTTAGGCGTCTTCAGTTTCCGCAGTTTCATTCTTAGTTTACATATAAAAAGGCGATGATCGCTTCTGCAGTCGGCGCTTGGATAGGTTTTGCAGTGAATCATTGCATTCCTGAAAATTTTGTTGATGGTTATATAATCAATTTGGTTTTTAGTTTCTCCTCCGTGTTCATAGTCGTCTCAGGTGTTATTGGAATCATGTGTTGGCTATTATCTGGTCATTGGCTGTGCACCATTGGATCTATTTTTCTCCGCGTTCGTTACGGGTTCCTAATCCGAATCTTCTTGCTATATCCCATGCCCTTTCTCTGCCTAATTTGGCGTTTAGGTATCCCATGATAATGATGACTTCCTGTGATTTGCATAGAGCCCTGGCACTGTTCTTCATGTAGTAGAACGATTCGATGTCCCCTTCCATGCTTTGTGCTGTCGATGCGTACACTACTATAATAACCACGTTAAAAGACTTCCCTTTCAGCTTCACTCTCAGAATTCTTTCGGAAAGTTGGTGGTATCCTAGAACGCATTTCATAAGTTCGCTATCTAGTCCTTTGTCACCGCCCTTTCTGTGTTTGTCGCTGACAAAGTCACTGTTGTTTGGCCATCTGGTTTCACATACACTTAGAATGTTGATGTTAAGCTTGTTCATCTCTTGTTTAATATTATCAAACTGGCCGCAGTAGCTTGAGCTACTGTGGCCAGAGGGTTATTTTGTGTTTGATGCGAGCAGTCGCAGGATAATTGTCTGATGACACCTGTCGCTCATGTCTTTCCTTTCCGGGCGAGGGATTGGTTCCGAGGATTTTTATCCCCTTTATTATCCCGTTTATGCTAGCAGTCGCTGGATAACGGTTAGGTGATATCTGTTGCGCGTGTGGGTCCTTACCGGGCGAGGATCTAATTCTCATAGACATAACCCACTTCACGCCGTTAGGTTTCGCATTATCTGAGTTGTTAACCATGATTTGTCTTAGGATTGATAGTGGAGTGGTTTATGGAGACACCACCTCTAGTTAGCTAGCCGTTGATTCAGTGAATTCCTCCACCCTTTGTTAGGTTTTGTTTTTCGTCCTACTGGCTTGCTAACGAGCCGCCTCACTCCGAACTAGGAGTTAGGTAGTCGGTTTAGTCGCCGACATTTCGACAAGTCACAAGGACAATAACCCTAAAGGGTACACACAACAGAACAGCGGCAGCCAGAAACAGGGTACCACCATTGTGGTTATAGAGTGAAACATTCGAGACGTAGGTGTCCTGCCATCTTAGTAACATGCCACTACTGCAGAACAAACAATGGAGGACTGAACTGGCAGTGAAATTTAAAATAGACACCGGGTCTGACGTCACTGCTATACACACCTATACAGGAATGAAGTTACCGGCACTAGCAACAGCAACAGAAACACTACATGGCCCACGTCATAACCCCCTACCAACAGTCGACTATGTACAATCCCTATTGGATGGAGCCAAAATTATGTCCAAACGAGACGTTAATAGTGGATAGTGGCAAATTCCTTTATCACGTGAATCCCGCCAATTAACGACCTTCACGACTTCGTTTGTCAGATTCCAATTTAATCGTCTACCGTTTGTGATCACATCAGCAGCCAGTGAGGTATACCAGAAACGGGTGTCAGTCACAATAGAAAACC